ATTTTTTTTTTTTTTTTTTTTTTTTTTTGTCTTTTATCTTTTTCCGTGTCCGGCAACGGATCGCAACCCTCAGTGTTGCCCCCGTACCGGACCGGGGACCGGCAACGGGATTGCAACCCTCGGTGCCGCTCCCGCGCCTCGCTCAGCCAGTGAGCGGGAACCAGTCGTGGGATCCGAACCCTCGGGCGGAATTCTTGCTTCTCAGAAATAAGGGCAATGTGTTATGTTAAATCTAGACATCAGAAAACTTGTGTATTGTTATTGTTATTTCAACACTATATTATAGCCAGACTAATTTGGTTTTTTGGTGCATTTTAGATAGCTGATACAGTACTCAATGATGATGATATTGGTGACAGTTGTCATGAAGGCTTTCTTCTCAAGTAAGAATTTTGTTTCTTTTCATAAAAGCTGTATGAAGCAGATACAAATCTAATACTCACCTATGACAAGATTTGGAGGGAAGAAAGAATAGAATACCTACCTACTCATATTATTCTAAGGACAACATAGCATATTTAAACTGTTGCTTAATTTTGTGTTATTACCCGTTATATGTCTGTGATGTATCTGATAGTACTCCTTTTATTATTTAAAGAAGCTGAGTTTCCACTTTGCTCAAAAAATCTTGGTTCCTTGTTTGATTCTGGTTTCTTGTTTTACTTCTCATTAAATCTAAAACTAAGAACTTTTTCAAATTAAGTTGTATGGGCTTAAGTTATTTAGGCCTACAAAAGAAAATCATTCATATTTGTACTGATCGTTTCCATCTGACAATGGAGGTTAGCACTTAAGAGTATGGGCTCTAAAACCAAACTGCCTGTCTCACTGCTGTGTAACCCTGGACATACTACCTGAATTCTTTGTGCCTCCATTTCCTCATCTGTAAGATGGGAATAGTAATAGTTCTAGCTTTATAAGGCTGTTGTAAGCATTGAGTGAGATAAATTATATAAAGCACTTAGAACAGTGCCTGGCACATAAAGGTACTTAATAATAGCTAATAGCTAGCATTTTCTGTTTATATTTCTTCTAGGGAAAATGATAACAGTATTAGCCAATATTTATTGCATGCCTGCATTTTAGTCTCTATGTTAAATGCTCTACATGTATTATCTCATCTTCTATTTTAGTGTTTCTTCAAGATAGCAGGTTATCATGAAATTTTATTTTTAAAAATGAGAAGTGAAAGGGTAAAGTATTTGCTTTTATGTCCACAGTCTTTTCCTTTAAACTTACGATGGAATATCAGTCGTGTGACTGTGTTTAACCTAAAAGCCTTTAGCTTGAATCAGAAGCACTTTAGTCCTGAATCTGCTCAGTGTTACCCATTCATATGTTATTTTTAATCCCATTTGACTTTAAATAAATCACTTAACCTCTCTAATACACTAGTTTCTTTAACTATAAAATGATATTATTTTACTAACTAACTGGGTTATTTTAAGGCTCAAATGAGAGAGTCTCTGTGAAAAGCCCCTGGAAAATGTAAAGTCCTATACAAATAAAAGATGGCATTATACTTATAACTTTGATGTTTCTCATGTAAAGCTTTTCTGAGTTACTTTAAGCTCATCACTTACTTTTTTTTTTTTTTTAGTTTGTGAAACCATTTTATAGCCAATGTTTTTAATCTGTTTTCTTTAACTTACAGTGCCATCAGCTCACACTTGCAAACCTGTGGCTGTTCTGTTGTAGTAGGTAGCAGTGCAGAGAAAGTAAATAAGGTAATTTATTTTATAATCCAGCAAATGATTTGACTTTCTAATACTGCTAACATATCATGGATTATCATTTAAATGCTAGGTTACAATTAAAATGATCTACAGTATAAGGAGGCAATATAACCTCACCAGATTGCTGTGACACCCTGTGGCAAAAATGAATTTGAGATAAACTGTTTGAATAGGGAGTCATTTATTAATTTCACTTTGATAACTCATATATTTAACTTATATATTTAAAAATATACATATCTTCTATTTCCTATTGTTATTTTAAATTAGTATGAAGATAGCCATGTACTTTTGGTACTAGTTCCAAAGAAATGTTATTTGATCATTCATCTTAATTTCATTGTCTTGGATTTCCTCTTAAATCTCTCCCTTTTAAGGACCTATTGCTATTAAGTGGTCAGTGGAGGTTATACTTTATTCAGTAATGTTCGTGACCATTTCCTTCAGTGCTACATGAGTTAATAAAGAATTAATGAACAGTTAGGCAATAAACTAAGGGATTTATACTTTTCTTCACTGACCATTAATTAGAAAGAGTCCAGGGATAAGTGCATATATCTATAAATTTAAGCAAACCTAATTTTTTAAAAGAAAGTTTTAGGGCTGGCCCCGTGGCTCGCTCAGGAGAGTGCAGCACTGGTAGCGCTGAGTCCACGGGTTCGGATCCTATATAGGGATGGCCGGTGCACTCACTGGCTGAGCGTGGTGCAGACAACACCATGCTGAGGGTTGCGATCCCCTTACCCGTCAGAAAAAAGAAAAAAAAAAAAAGAAAAGAAAGTTTTACACAGGAAATATATGTTGGGAATGATTTTCTGCTTTACAAAGATATTCGTAATTTGATTTTTTCTGTAGTAAGCTACCCTGTGTACTTACATGAGCCTTAATTTACCAAAATTATATTTGTCATGCAACTGTTTATGACAGATTAGTACATATCTATTATTATGTTGCATCTAGGGACTAGTGTTATTATTTATTATTTCTGTTACCCCAAAAAGGTGGCTTCCATCTGTGACCTCCAAAGCCTTAGAATTCCACAGTTGAGCTTCTCAGTCTGCTTTGTGGAGAGAGAAAGGCTCCATGGGTGGGGCTGTGGTTTTTAAATATTTTTTCTCACACTCCAGCCTCTTTAGATAGAAGAGCTTCCCTTTTACCTTCTAAATTTGAGAAAAAAATTTGCCACTGCTCTAGCTTGAAAACCACTGCTTTAACATAGTACTTCTGGATATGGTCTAAATTCCAACATAGTTACATGACTTTATTTTTCTTAATAGAACTGTAAGTTACATCTTGTTAGAATCAGAGATTTCTAAACCCCAACCAATGACCTTATTTTAAATCAAATTTGATCAAATTAATTCTTTTTCTGTTGAAGGATTTGGACATTCCTTGATATGCATTATAATGGAACTTCACATGTAGAACTATTAAACAGAAGCTGTAATTCTGCTCAATTTTAATGCATTTAGTTTTCCTGTCCAAAATTATTTGCTTTTTTGAAAAACCGTTGCTGCTGGGTAGAGATACAAACAGTGATTGTATTAGGTCATTATGTCCCACTGAAATAAAGGTTCCATGGTCAAGTAAGTTTGGGAAAGTCTGCAAATTGTGTCACCTGGAAAGTCACAATATGTATTCAAATGTTAAAGGTTTTGCTATACCATACAGTAAATTTACCAAGCATTTCCTGAACTTATTTGACTTCAGAATCCCTTTTGTAAGCAACAACTGTTACATCCCATCAACCATTCCAGGTGACTAAAGAATGCTTATTTCTCAGAATGTATTTTATTGACAATAACAATTGAAATTTCTATTTAAATTTCTTTTATAAGCAAACCAGTGGTCTTTTTACTTCATATTTTAATGCCAAAATCTTTTATTTTATAGATAGTGAGAACATTGTGCCTTTTTCTGACTCCAGCAGAGAGAAAATGCTCCAGATTATGTGAAGCAGAATCATCATTTAAATATGAATCAGGGCTCTTTGTACAAGGCCTGCTAAAGGTATAACTAACGTTTCCATAAAGGTATACCTTCCTGCTAAAGGTATAGTTCCTGCTAAAGGTATAGCTTCATAAGTGAAACCAACTTTTTAAAATCATTTTTGAGACTCTTTATAAACATATTTTAAATATTAGCATTTAATACATCTTACATTTTTATGCCCAGGGACTTCCTTTTATACAGTTCTGAGCATAGCATATGTCTTAATGGATTAATAATATCAGTGAAACACCGTGGAGCATCCTTTGTTTTCCGGGCGATTCCCTGTAGCTACGTATCTAGCCTCAGGATTGTTCTTTTTTAAATACATGCTTAAATGTTGTACACCTAAAATGGGAACATTTCTTTTTTACTGAACAGACTTGAATTTTTGTGTTACCGTTTTCTGTTTATGTACCATATTTATCAGAAAAAAATTTAAACATCTTAAAAAGTGTATAGGATTTGAGCATATATATTTCTATATATACATTAGGAAATATGTATGTATGAGGGTACTTCAAAAAGTTCTTGGAAAGAGTCATATTATCTTTTAATCCTGTTTTTCCATGAGCTTTTTGAAGAACCTCTTCAAATATATATATTACAAAAAATGTTTTATATTTTTCTTTCATTTAATTGGGTATACTTCTCAAGGAGCAAAACAAATCAGTATAAATTAGCAATTATTTTCAGTAGTTAAGGGGAAGACAGTTTTTCACTTTATTGAATCTGTTACTGGTGTTTCGATTATAATAAAAAATGTGAAGAAGTAGCTTTCCTGATGTGAATAAATACCTTTTCTAATGGTTATGTGATTCTATCATAGTGAATGCTTTCTTAATGTTGTACGCATAGCAAAATGGAAGAAAAAAATATTAAAAATTATTGCAAATAAAAATTATATTCAGCTTTTGCATTTTCAGTAATGTGCCTGCTGTGAGCTCAGAATATAATAGTATGTAATTGTTAGAAATTAATAGACACTAGTTAAAGGAAACACATTTCTAACTTGAATTTTACAAATCTGAAAATTAGAACTTCTTCCTGTTAAAGGCATAACAAAGTACTTAATACTTTTATTTCCTTAGCATCCTCTCATTTAATTACATAATTTTAGCCCTGACAGGGACCTTTACCAGATGCATAGAGGAAAACTTGAAACTATGATTTAACGAAAAAATATTTGAGTTCTCCATGCAAATATAAATTATATAGCCTTCCAGAAAATACTTTGACCATATACAAAGATTATCACAGCATTATAAGAGTGAAAAAGTGGAAATAGCTTTTGTCTTCTATTCATAGCACATAGTAGTACCTCCTACATAGTAGGTACTTGTTACATGGTAACTGGCTACCCAACTGACTATACCTGGAAATAAGTAAATTTTTTGCTTATTATAAAAATACATATTCATTGTTTTGAAAAGAGCATAGAATAATCAAGAAAGAAAAAGTTGCTTGTAATTTCACAATCCCGAGAACAACCACTGTTAATATTTTGCATATATCTTTCTAGTTTTTTTTTTACCTACGTATTTTCTTTAAACCACCCCCCCTCCCCAACACTCCAATGGGATTATGTACTCTACTTATTGTCACCTGCTTTTTTCACAATATATTGTAATCTTCTTTTAGTATCAGTACAAACTTCAGCAACTTCATTGTTAGCAGCTAAATAATAAACCCATTTTTATTTATTTAATAGCTTTTCTTTTTGGATGCTTAGGTTGTTTCTGATGTTTTCCTATTAAAACCAATGCTGGGCCAGCCAGTGGCTCGGTTGGTTAGAGTAAGGTGTTAACACCAAGGTCACGGGTTCAGATCCCTGTACTGGCCAGCCACAAAAATAAGGTAAAAAATAAAACCAATGCTGTAGTGAACTCCTGTCACTAAAATTTTGCACACAGTACTGATTAATATCTTAGGATAAATTTCTAGAGATGGATTTGAGAAATCAAAACCAGTTTTTTAATTAGAAAAATAATTATATCATTTGGCATATAAGACAGTACATTTTTCTTTTATTTTGACAGGATTCAACTGGAAGCTTTGTGCTACCCTTCCGGCAAGTCATGTATGCTCCCTATCCCACCACACACATAGATGTGGATGTAAATACTGTCAAGCAGATGCCACCCTGTCATGAACATATCTATAATCAGCGGAGATACATGAGATCAGAGCTGACGGCATTCTGGAGAGCCACTTCAGAAGAAGACATGGCTCAGGATACAATCATATACACAGATGAAAGCTTCACTCCTGATTTGTATGTAATGCTCTGCCTTTTGATATTGTCCTCAAGCAATATGAAACTATCTTTTGAGTAAAAACAAAACAAAAAAGTGGAACTTAAAAGTAAAGAAATGTTACTAGCAGAATTATGCTTAAACATTTAATCAAGCATTTTTTTTTAAATGTTTATTTTTTTCATATAATTGTATTTCTTCTAAAACAGGTTAGTTTAGCCCTTAACATAAGTATTTAAATACTTATTTAGCAAACATATATTGAACTCCTAGGCACTGTACTAGGTGCCGGGGTTAATAGTGGCCAACCAGACAGCGCCAGCCCTACATTGCTTATAGGCTAATGTGTAACAGTTATTGATCAGGCTTATTAACTAAACCAAAGAAGTAATTCTAAGTCTTTTTTTTCCCCTTGATATATGAATATGTAATACAGCAAAACTGTTGAAATATGTTAATAGAGCATTTTTTTACTTTGCATTTTATATTGTTTATTTCTTACCAGAAAGTTTGATCAGTAAATTGAAAAGAAAAAGTAGTGATAATTAAATGTTGAGTGTGGACTCAATTAGAAAAAAAAGTGATGATATAAATCTATAATCATAAAACCCCAAGAAAACACTAAATGATGTTCTGAAATCAGAAAAAGACTTATAGGGCCGGCCCCGTGGCTCACTCGGGAGAGTGTGGTGCTGGTAGTGCCAAGGCTGCGGGTTTTGATCCTACTATATAGGGATGGCCAGTGTGCTCACTGGCTGAGTATGGTACGGATGACACCGAGCCAAGGGTTGCGATCCCCTTACCGGTCAAAAAAAAAGAAAAAGACTTATAGTATACAATTATGGTTCTCTTTAATCAGTTAAAAGTGCTTGGAGTAGTGCCTGGCGCATAGAATGTACTCAATACATGTTAATAATCCTAGTAATCCTGGTTTAAGTGTACAGGCAGCAGTAGGATTGGAGCAAGCAACCATGTTCTGTTGTCTGAGGAAAAACTTTGAGCTGAGGCAACAGACATATGGAGCATCAGTAGCCACACACTAAGTGTTGCCCAAAAGCACAGAATAGGAACGTCATGTCCAAGGGCTCCCCAGCCTCATGTCACTAGGTGGAGAAAGATGACTCCATTAGGACCCATCTTTTCCTAGTGTTCTCGTTGGTTCCTTAGAACGTTTTAGGGGTACTGGTTTAGAAAATGAATTGGTCAAATTGGAATTCAGCATCACTAAGTTTTTTCACATATTGGTAATTTTGGTACATTTGTAGAAGTTCTCAAAATTAATCTGTGCCTTCAAGCATTTTCTTCTTTCTTAAAGTGCTTAATATTTTTTCTCTTTTTTGATTGCTTGGGAGCTTTTTGGGGGGTATTTAGTGAACTTTTGAATGAGTTTGCAGCTATTGAGTAGTTTTGTTTTGTTTTGTTTTTTAGAGGAGGTATATGTGTATGCTTTTAACATTTCTTACTCATTTTTAGCCAGCTATTCTTGTTTTGCTGATCATGACAAAATAATGTCATGAATTTTAAAATTTTGTTTCCAGCTCTAAGTATATTTTATGAACATAAAATTGTCCAAAAATAGTATTTTCAGTCATTAGATTGTGTGTTGTTAACTTTTACATATTATAGACCAGTTTTGCTTTTTACTGTATTTTAAACAATGTTCTTTATTTTTAAGTTGCTTTTAATTTTAACTTTAAAAAATAATTTTAGTGCCCATACATTAAAAATTAGTAACTGGAAATATTCTTGTGAACACTTTGCTTCATCCGGTTCACTTATGATCAAGACATGCATTCAGTGAAACAGGAATAATCAGAACATTGGACTTAAATACTTTATTCTCTCTCCAAAGCCCAAGATGGGATGCTATTAGTGCCCTGCAATTAATTGTGAAATGCCGATTTTTCACCCCTTCTCAGCTTTCTTCTGTAGATTGGTACACCCATCTCCTAAGACTAGGAGACTTGAGGTACTTTCCTATTTACTTCTGCACACACCCATGCTCTTCCTCTGCCTGTCTTCCCAGAACCCTACTGTTTTCAGTCCTTTCTTTGTTTCAGTTAAAAATCTCTTACCTTATAAATGTTGTATTACCCCTCTGAGCTGAGCATAACCTAGGGAAAATGGAAGAGAAAAGATGGGGGGTGGGTCCCAGGAAGGGAATAATCTTTTTTGTTTGTTTGCTTTAGCACCTACTATATCCTAGGTGTTGTGTTAGATATAGATTATCTCAAATGACCATTGTGTTGACTTCTCACTCTGGTCATTGCCAAGGTAGGTAACATGTTCTTGGGTATATGACTTGCAGATAGTGGGACTGTTGATGCAAACCCAGCAGTTGTGATGTTGCAGATAATCATCTGGGTGTGCTTTCTAATCCCACTCAAATGTTCTTAGCATTCATCCTTGGTTTGTTTTGGTTTTTAGTGGTAGTTGTCATGTGTTTATTTTTGTTGCTGGTGTTTTGTTTTGTTGAGATGCCAGTTAGGCTCTTAACTTTTTTTTTGTAAGGTGAGGGTAATAAAATAGATTAATAGATACGTACAAGGGTACTTCAAAAAGTTCATGGAAAGATTTGTATTACATTTTAGTTCTGTTTTTCCACAAAATTTTTGTAGTACCTTTGTACATACCCTTCTAGGGGACTGCTTATACTCTTTAGAGAAAATATTAGCCTAACGAACACCAGTAATATGCAAATAAATCCTTTAGTTAAAATTCATATATATCTCCTAATATACATATCTATATCCTTACAAATATGTTTATATATAATATAGTGTTTATAAAAATTATTGGCTGGAGTCAGGGATTATGGAAAGTAACATTGGACATTTTTTTTTTTCTTCATAGGAATATTTTTCAAGATGTCTTACACAGAGACACTCTAGTAAAAGACTTCCTGGATCAGGTAAATGTTGAACTTGAGATTGTCAGAGTGAATAATATGACATGTTTTCTTTTTTAATATATTCTGCAATGCCTGTACTATATAAAATCATAGAATTAAGTCCTTATCTTTTGAATTAAGTCCTTATCTTTTTGTAGTGTCTCTGATCTTTCTAAGTTATCTAAATGATTTTTCTTTTGAATTATTAATGGGGAGTGCCTCTATATTAACAATTAAAAATGCAGCACTTCCTAGTTCAAATAAATATTTTAATTTCAAGCACTAATCTGTAACCAAAGGGTTTTGTGTTTTTTTTTTTTCCTGAGGGGGTGGTTTATTTGATTTAATTGAGCCAAAAATGTTTTTAAAACTTAGTATACTTCTATTTAAATGATAGAATCCTTATTGTCTCATTCTTTTAAAAAATATCTACTTAATTACACATTTGAAGAAAATGATAGATTATATGGGACTTATTTCTTAATATAACAGAGCTTTATCATAATATCATTCTGAGGATCAGGCCAGGAAACTGTGTCATAGATGTATCTTTGAAATAATGAGGTCCTTATGTTAACTAAAAAATTTGGTCTGTGTGGTCTGTGACACATTGCAAAAGTTCAATGATAATTTGTAGTCATAGCATTTCATGCTTCTCAGAAATAAATACCTCCTCCTCTCCACCCCTATGAGAAAGAAATATATGATTTCTTTCTCATATATCACCCCCTCCCCTATCCCCCAGCACACACACAATGTAGCTGTATGAATATCTCAAAACCATAGTCTCAACTTCTGGGAGCTTTAATTTTATTTGAAGATGTGGGCAGAAAAAGTTAAGTAACACAACATGAAATAACCTACATAATGATTTTTAAGAATGAAATAAACGTATGTATTCTGATGTATACATGCAAAATCTGAGTGCATTGTTAAAGATAAGATAGCAAACTTCAGGAAACTGTCAGATTGCTTCTGGACCCAGTGCTGTCATCACACTCCTGGCTGTTAGAGGGCATCAGTAGATGTGGTTGAGGAAACACTCTGTATCGTCTGCCAGGCACTGTCAGCACTGTCATAGAAACATGCTGTATAAGTACAGTGGGAGCAAACTATGTATTAAAGTGGCTCATTTCCCTGCAGGTCTTTCATTTGAAACCTGGTTTATCTCTCAGGAGTACTTTCCTTGCACAGTTTCTACTCGTCCTTCACAGAAAAGCCTTGACATTAATAAAATATATAGAAGATGATACGTGAGTAAAACCCCTATATGGAAGAAAAACCTTTGTACATTGTTTTTTGTTTTGTTCCCTTTGGACATTTTCTATATTATAATTTTTGTATTTGTTTTTTCATCATTTGTAGGCAAAAGGGAAAAAAGCCCTTTAAATCTCTTCGAAACCTGAAGATAGACCTCGATTTAACAGCAGAGGGCGATCTTAACATAATAATGGCTCTAGCTGAGAAAATTAAACCAGGCCTACACTCTTTTATCTTTGGAAGACCATTCTACACTAGTGTACAAGAACGAGATGTTCTAATGACTTTTTAAATGTGTAACTTGTTGAGTATATTTCATCATAATCATTATTGCTGCTAAAGTAGCTCAGTGGTGTGGGAAACATCACTGCCCTCGGTCATGCCCCTACCGTCCTACTCAACAATTGCAGTTAAAGTTAGTTACACTACACTGTCACCAGAAGTCTGTCTGTTCAGGGGACGTCAGGTACATCATTACATTCAATCTCTCTTTTCCTAGATGTACTCTCTTGGGATACAGGCTTATGTTTACAATTATAATAAATATTCTTGCTATCTTTTATAGATACAATAATAGAATATAAATTGACCACAACTACTGTTCTTTGAAACTTATGAAATTCATAGTTTACATATATCAAAATGAAATCTGAGTTAGATTTTACAGATATAATACTAGTTGACTTTCCATCTTTTGGTATTCCTTGGTGTATGAGATTACTGTAATACTTTTGCAATCAGCTGAAAATTAGGGCATTTAAATCAATTCAGTTCCACAGAAAAGAAGTTAGCTTGAATATAGATTAAGCTTTAGAAAGAAAATATTGATCAAGCAGATGTGTAATTGAAATTAATTATTAGATCTACTTTGCAGACTTAACTCTCTAGAATTCAGTCTGTGTAGAAATGGCAAGTAAGTTAAGTATAGTTCCTGATTATGGTGAACCACAGTTGGTGTTTTTCATTTGTTTTGTTGTTGCCATCAATATCCTATATAGTTGAGCTCTGCCCAAGAAAATATAGGAAATTGGATTTTATGTTTTAGTAGTTGCCAAGTTTTTAAATTAATTTTCATTATTTTTGAGCCAAATTGAAATGTGTGCCTCCTGTGCCTTTTTTTCCCTAGGAAAATATAAGTACTTGGAAGACGTTCAGATTTCACTGGTCAGTCATTTCCATCTTGTTTTCCTCTTGCAGAGCCTTACCATGTACCTGATTTGGCAATCATTGTAACTGAGATTATAAAATGCATTAGAGAATATACTAACTAATAAGATCTTTTTTCAGGAACAGAGAACAGTTTCTTGTCTTCTTCCTTCGTATATTTCTGCCCATATTTTTGAAGTTGTTGCCATGTTGCCTGAATCATATAAAAAAAAAAAGGCAGGAGAAAAAAAATAGCAAGAGAAACTTTACTGAAGTGCTATTTTTCTAGGTGCTACTTTGGCAAAACTAAGTGGTCTCTTTTGTTTCCTTAATGTGTTTGAACCATTTTGCTGGCTATAAAATAACTGATGAACATAATTCTGTGCTAGAACAGTGTTGACACAGTAGTATACACAAAAAATATTTTTATTTAAAATTGTGAAAGTTACATGAAAGGGAAAATATATTTATATGAAAGGGATAAAAGTGGTAGAACCCTTTTGCCCTTACCCACTAAATTTAGTGAAAAAGACACAGTCTATTCTGAAAGGTCATAATAGCTTTCACGTCATGAATAAGAAAGATGTAGACATCTTGATTTTTAGACAAACATTGAACTAGATGACTGATGTACTATAGCTCAGTCATGAAAAAATGTATAGATACCACCTCGTTGTGTCTTATACTCAGTGCTTTTTACACAGTAGATTCTTATTTAAGTGCTATTTTCCTTTGCTGGTTTATTGTACTGTTATATAGAATGTAAGTTGTACAGTGAAATAAGTTATTAAAGCATGGGTAAACATTGTTACATATCTTTTCTTCTAGATGGAGAGTTTTGAATAAAATATCTTTGAAATTTTGTCTCAGTTATTTGTTTAGGAAAAGCCCTACATATTGGAAGACTGATCAGTTTCTGTTCAGCTTCATAGTCTTATTGGATCTAAACTTTTTTTTTTTTTCCCTTTTTGTCTTTTTTTCTTTCGTGTCTGGCAACGGATCGCAACCCTCAGTGTCGCGCCCGTACCATACCGGGACCGGCAACGGGATCGCAACCCTCGGTGCCGCGCCCACACCTCGCTCAGCCAGTGAGCGGGAACCGGTCTGTATGTGGGATCCGAACCCTCGGGCGGGAGCGCCACCGCGCTCCCAAGTGGCGCACTGTAGCAGTGCACCACCGGGCCAGCCCTAATTTTCTCTTTTCAAAGAAAATACATTTAAAGTTTCTTTATGATGCTGGAATCTTGTTTTTTTTTTTAAAAAAAAAGCTTTCTGCTTAACTCGCAGGATTGAGTTTTGATTTCTCAAATTATGTATTTGTATTTCAAATGTAAAGTAATACTTAGATAAATTCTTTTTAAAAAAATTCTGTTATAGGGCCGAGCCCGTGGCGCACTCAGGAGAGTGCGGCGCTGGGAGCGCAGCAGCGCTCCCGCCGTGGGTTCGGATCCTATATAGGGATGACCGGTTCGCTCACAGCGCTCACTGGCTGAGCGCGGTACGGCCG